TCTCAGAGCTCTGCGTGTCTGCCCTGTTCGTACACACTTTCTCTAACCATCCCCAAACAGCCCGTGAGTATGACTGAGAAAAAGCGTTTCCTGATGTTCAGTTTGAACCCATTACCTGCCAGTTTACTTTTATGCCCTTGTACTGGAGAATAAAATGGACATCGGTGCCTGGCCATAGGCTGTAGATGTCTTCTCTAGACCAAACAGCTGCAGGCCAGTCTTATAACAGCATTTTTCAAGACGCGAGGAGTAAGACTTTTATATTCACAACACGCTCAGGCTGTGAGTAACAGAGCACTGGTCAGGTAAGAAAGTCCACTCAGGCTTTATCTTGAAACTATTCTGGCTTTACATTTACAGCTATTAACGACAGTAGCAGTACGGGCCTAAAGTCTTTCCCTTCCTCCCACACCATGGCAATGCCTTCCCTTCTGGGAGCAGAAGTGTTGGATGTCGGTGACAACAGCAGCCACTTTTGCCCTCTGTACTCAGACGTCTCTCGATGTAACTTTGCATGAGGGGTCCAGGACAGTCACGCGTTTTGGGCTTTTGATTGTGAGGAAGCCTCTGTTGGCACATAAGTGCCAGGGAAAGTGTGTCTGAGCACTGACATCAGTTCGGAGACAGAAGCCAAAGAGCTCTGGAGCTCTTTGCAGCTCAGGAGGATATTATTCAGTGAGTTGTATTTGTGGCACGACAAGCTTTTCTTCCAAAGTTGGTTAAAATCAGGTCTTTAGTCTCCAAGGATAGGTTCCCTACAGACAATTCTCAAATGAGCCCCTTCAACTCAGATTTTTTCCAGCATCGAGAGACTGAAAAAGCAGTCGTGTCCCTTGTTTTTATTTCTTCATGGATCTCATGAAGACTTGTCTGACTTGTGACTGCGTTCCAGCAGCAGGATACCCTCATACTTGCCTGCCTTCCCCTCAGAGCCTGCTACTGGTGTGTGCTGAGGGCATTACAACACTTGCAGGGATTCAGAGGCTGCCTTTTGATAGGGGCAGATGCTTTTTGGTTTAATGCCATGTGACACAGTAAATCATTTTGTAGCATTTAGAAAGGATTTTAATGGAGCCCATATAACAACCAGCAGCATTGTTCTTTAGAGGGGAAAAAAAAAAAAAAAAAAGGGGTAGCTTTAAAGCGAAAAACAAATTCAAGCATAGCAACTAGCAGCCTACAAAAGAAAGTCTGGCCTTCTGTTAGACGTGTCATCCAGAGCTTCCCCAAAACATTTAACTGTCCTAAAATAACACTTAACTGATTACCACCTTTGCCTAGTTTAAGGCCATCCATTCGGAATGAACTTTCTCCAGCGTTACTCAGTGAGCTTTGAATCTCTTCCTGGTTTGATTTTGTTGTGAGCCTGCAACTCTCACTACTTTCGAGGACGGATGTGTCACCAAGTGAAACTGCTCTCACTGTTGGCTATTCTTTTCTTACAGCTCTCCCTCCCCTCATGGCTCGTCGATCTCAAAGCTCCTCGCAGGGGGACAATCCCCTGGACCCGAACTATCTCCCCCCCCACTACAAGGAGTATTACCGCTTAGCCCTGGATGTGCTTACTGAGGAGGGCAAAGAAAGTTACCAACGCTTTCTGGCAGAGGAAGCAGCTCCTGATTTCCTTTGCAACTCAGAGGTGGATCACATCATACAGAACCTCCAGAAACCCCAGTACGCCAATCAGGAAGGCAGCACAGATACCGCGGGTGACAATGACATGGACGGATCCTCTGGGACTTACTGGCCCATGAACTCAGACCTCGCTGTTCCGGAGCTCGACCTGGGCTGGCCAATGGTCTTTGGGTTCAGGGGAACAGAGGTGACAACCCTCGTGCAGCCGCCACCCCCAGACAACCCCAGCATTAAGGAGGAGGCTCGCAGGATGATTCGAGCAGCTCAACAGGTGAGAGAGTGACAAGCCCAGCCAGAGCAGAGATAAAATTATATGTGTGCGAAAGATGAATCAGAATACATCAGGTCCTCAGGTAATTCCCTTCACTTTGCTCCCAGGACCTGGCAGAGGGGAAGGATGATTCTAAAACTACTGTTTACTGCATCAAAGCTAGCCTCTGCTCTTTGGTCTCATGGAAACGCGTTTAAGACCGCGCTAAAATATACCAAGAGTTCGCAAAATCACAGAAGAGTTGAGGTTGAAAGGGACCTCTGGAGATGGTCTAGTCCAGCCTCCCTACCCCAAGCAGAGTCAATTACAGAGGGCGATGTAGACATGTCCTTGAGTATGTCTAAGGATGGAGGCTCCAAAACCTTTTTGGACAACTTGTTCCAGCATTTAACCACCCTTACAATAAAAGAGCTTTTTCTTAGGTTTAACTAGAATTTGCTATATTTCAATCTGCATCTTGTCCTTTCACTGGGTACCACTGAGAAGAGTTTGACTCCATGTTCCTCATGCCCTTCCATCAGGTATTTATACTCACTGGATTAATGAGCAAGGGAAGGCTCAGTGGCAGGGAGTTTTTCCCTCCCTCTCATATACTAAATATGCACCTTAGGTAGCAGCTCTGTTCTGGGGCCCGTGACATTTAAGGGAACCTTTAAATGGGAAGGATCCTGTTTAAAAAGGAAGTTGAACTGGAGACAGTGTGGCAGTGCAGCTTTGGAATGCGAGGTGCTGGGGAACATGACCAGCCAGGTCATAAATCAGGCACGGATCACCGACATCTTTCTTGCATCCTTCTCCCAGGTGGTGGCCATAGTGATGGACATTTTCACTGACGTGGATCTGCTGTTCGAGGTGTTGGATGCTGCTGCTCGCAGAGTGCCTGTGTACATCCTGCTGGATGAAATGAACGCTCAACTTTTCCTCGATACAGCTGCTAAATGCAGAGTCAATCTTAACTACGTGGAGGTAAGCAAACCAAAGACCTGTCCTGCCCCTAGTTTGCATTCTGAGGGGCACCTGTTCTGACGCAGAGGGCTGCTATGACAGTAAAAACCTGAGAAAGGGGGAAATGGGCCAGAGCCTACTGAAAGGTGAGTAAGAAGAAAGCCAGGAGAGCTGGCACAGCAATACAGGGCTGAAGGCTGAGGACACGTAACAAACAGGTTTATCAATTCGTTGTGTGTGCCTACAGAATCACAAGAGCTCAAGTATAAAAACGGTGGCAGGATGGAAGTTAAAAGAGCAAGGGGGAGAAGGAGGGGCAGGGGGAGGGATTTAACAGCTCCCAGCTGAGTCAGTGCCTTGTCCACTTTGCAGTTCCTAAGGGTGAGGACAGTTTCTGGCCCAACCTACTACTGCCGCACAGGGATGTCCTTCAAAGGCCACGTGAAAGAGAAGTTCCTCCTGGTGGACTGCATGGTGGTGCTGAGTGGCAACTACAGGTGAGAAACCCTGCAATGTTCCACATCCCAGTGGCAGTGAGGAAGAGACTGGTGGTTAATGGGTAAAGCGGTGCTTCAGCACCAGTGGCAAGAGCTGATCTCACTGAACAGTACCGAGCAGCGATTTTCAGGAAAAATACAGCATTTTGCAACTGAGGTGGATGCACCAGTTGAATAAGGTCTCAAGCCCAGATACCCAAAGCCAAGCTTCAAGAGCGTAAACAATCACATCAAGAGTGTAAATGATCTGCAAAAAAGCTACGGTAAATAGAGGGTGGTGTGGGTTAACCCCAGCAGGCAGCTGAGCCCCGCGCAAATGTTCGCTCACTGCTCCCAGCGGGATGTAGGAGAGAATCAGAAGGGCAAATGTGAGAAAACTCATGGGCAGCGATAAAGATGGTTTAATAGCTAAAGCAAACCTGCACGTGCAAGCAAAGTGAAATAAGGAATCCATTCACATCCCATTTCCAGGAAAGCAGAGATTGACTTGGGAAGACAAATGCTCTAACACTGAGCATCTTCCTCTTTCAGTTTGAAACCGTTACCCCTTGTCTTATGCCTGCACCTCCTGACCAAGAGCTCCTCCCCATCTCTCCTATGGCCCCCTTTAAGCCCTGGGAGGCTGCTCTAGGGTCTCCCCTTTGGGAGCCTCCTCCGCTCCAGGCTGAGCAGCCCCAGCTCTCAGCCTGTGCTCAGACGGAGGCGCTGGGAGGTGTTCCTACTGTGCGGATCACTAAGCGCTAGAATAGGTTTCCGAGGGACTGTCTGGAGCCTTCCCCCTTAGATCTATCTACAACCCGTCTGGACATGGTCCTGGGCAACTGTTTCTAGGCTGCCTTACGTGAACAGGGGTGGGTGGACCTGATGACTGCCAGAGGTCCCTTCCAGCCTCGGCCATTCTCAGACCAACCTCAGCCAGGGCTCAGACCCAGTGCCACAAATACTGACTGGGGGGGATAATCCCTTCTGATGACCTGCTGCCGGCACTTCTACTGCTGCAGCCCTGTACGCGTTGAGCCACCACTGCTGCAGAGGTGCCAGTGTCTTTTTCCATCTTGCTGCCTGCCAGAATCCCAAGTTTTCAGCCAAGCTGCTTTCTAGTCGCCCTCAGCCTGTAGTGGTGGTTGGGGCTGTTCCATCCCATGTGCCAGATGCCGCACTTGCCTTTGCTGAATTTCACGCGGTTCTTGTCAGCACATTTCCCCAGCATGTTGAGGTCCCCCTGACTGGCACATCAACCATGCCACTCCCGCCCTGTTCTGGTGTCATCTGCAAGCTTGCTGCAGGTGCACACCGTCCTGTTGTCCAGGTCATTAATGACAGGGTTAAAGACTCCTTCCCCAAGCCCTGAACCCTGGGAACACCACTTGTAACTGTCCACCAGTTGGACTTCAAATCACTGACCACCACCCATTAGGCCTGACAGTCCAACCAATTTCCCGTTGGCTGTGAGGCACGTTCCTTCTGTCCGTAATGGTCCTATTTGGCTATGACACTTATCTAAAGGCCATCTGCAACCTCTTGCTAAAGTCAAGAAAATCCTCATCTTTTGCTATCCCCGCATCCATGCAGCCAGCCTTCTCTTCGTTGAAGGCATCACATCAGGCAAGGCATGACTTGCCTGTGGTAAATCCCTGCTGTCTGATCCCAGCTGTCTTTCTATTATTCCTGTGCCTGGAAATGGCTTTCAGGAAGATTTGCTCCATAATTTTCTCTCAGAGTGAGGTCAGGCAGTTCCTGTGCTGCAGTTCCCTAGCTGACCCTTTTGCTCTTTTAAAGATGGACGCACCGTTTTAGTTATGAAAAACAATTACAACCCAGAGTAATTGCAGAAATGTTTAACTTCATGTAAGAATCCGCATCAGCTTGCTCTCTTGTGGTTGTTACTGTTGGCTGCCTTTTTTAGAACGGAACTCCTTTACTGCCTTGTAAGGTTCTCTGCAAAGACATGATGCCAAATCAACTAACTAAGAGGCTCGGGATCAACAGGGTGTCATGAACCGCTGCCCGAGCAGTAAATAACATCGGGAGAATTTTCTTCAGGCAGGCAAATGGTTGAACGTCAAGTGGTACAACTGAGTTGATGCTAATGCACTATCATTGCTTCTGTTTCTCTTTGTAGTTTTATGTGGTCCTTTGAGAAGATTCACAGAAGCATTGCACACATGTTCCAAGGGGAGCTGGTGGCCAGCTTTGATGAAGAATTCCGAATCCTGTTTGCACAGTCAGAACCTCTCGTTCCTCCAGCGAACGTCCTGGCAAAGGCAGAGAACACCTTTGCCATGACCCCCTTTGGCAATAACATGCCTTTCTTTCCAAAAAAAGCACCCCTGATGTTCCAGAGGGACGACAACCTTTTTCCCTCCTTTATGGACAGGGTTGAACCCGACAGGTACTTCCTGTCCAATTTCAGGCGGGACGACATGTTGCGTCACACCGTGGAGGGGTCGGCCATGCGAATGTATAAAAAGGTAGAAATGGAGAATTCGCAGATGGATCCTGTCAGGGGTTTTCTCCGTTCCAAGCAGTTGGAATTGGATGCTTTTAAGAGACACAGTTTTGCAGAAGGAACATTTGAAAATTTTGCTTCTTCTAAACAGTATGCCAGGCAGATGTTTATGAACAATATGGATGAATTTAAAATCCAGTCTAGTCATTTTCAGAAGGATCAGTTCTACCAGTACCAGTTTGAACATCCCCATCTTGCTGGCAGACCTCAGGGGCTCTTTGAGAGAATCCGAGGTGGCAGGCCAGGATTCAATGAACTGGAAGACTATGGAGAGGGACCCAGATACCCTGAACTCGAATCTGGTTTTCCACAGGAGGGCTTCCCCTTAAGGCTCGATTATGTACCTTCAAATTCCTCCAGGGAAGTCAGACATGGCTCCGATCAGCTGAATCCTGCAGGCAATGGCCCAATGGGAATGATGTTAAGGCGGCAGAATATAGGACAGAAATTTATTTGCCAGACCTCTCCTACACAGAAACAGAGCCTGGAACAACGCCTGTTCTTACAAGACAAAGAGGAGGACCAAGATGAAGACAAGAACACACAAGAAAACAGAACAGGGTTACGTAACTGGAGGATTTCTTCATACCTTAGTGCGTATCAGTCCGAACCAGAAGAAGGTCTTCCGATGCCCATGGAGTCAGAGGCATATAATGATGTTCTCGGGGATACCGTCACAAAGCACCCCACTGACCTCGTCCCAGCCTTCAAATCTCCTCTATCTTTTAACAGCAAGCCACTAGGAATTGACAGTCCCAAAGAATTTGCAGATCCTGACAGAGCAGGTGAAGAAAGCCCTTTAATGAAACAAGATGCTTTTAGGTCCAGGATAAATCCTTTGATCCAGAGGAGCTCAAGACTCAGGTCCTCTCTGATTTTCAGTGCTGCCAAGTTAGATCAGCCTAACACCACGATAGAGAAGGTTCAGATGATCCAAAAAGAACAGATGTCCAGTGAGCTGACAAAGGAAAATGAAACAATAAAGACAGCTGCCTCATCTAAAGTGGCGGAACTTCTAGAGAAGTACAAAGCCGTGGGCAAAGACACAGAGCGAGCTGCTGTCACTCATACCAAAGCTGTTTCCAGTTATCTCCAGGAAGACTCCCAGAACACAGAGAAGAAATGTACCAAGTCCGTGCAGTATAAGATTCTGGAGAGCAGGGTACTAGACTCCAAAGACTCCTGCGGTACTTACAAAGTGCACGGAGAGGCTGACAGACCATTTGGAATGGCCTCATCGACCCCCCAGCTTGTTGACACATTGAGCAAAGATCCCCTGGCGCATATTGGCACAAAGGTGGACAAATTGTCATCTCGGTTTTACCCCATAGACAATAAACCTGCTCTCCAAGAGAAGGAGAGTCTTATATATGTAGGAGACACTCAGAAATTGACTCTTCCAGACTAGAGTGACATTCAAGGACGACCCTCAGAAATTAGCCAGTACGGAACTGAAGAAACCACAGATTAGGACGAGTACCACATCAGTTCTGGAAAACTTATCTAGAAGTCAAGGATCCGACAGCTCTCTCAATAAGTCCGAGGAAGACTGTTCAAAACAAGAACAAAATCCAATGGAATTTTTTCGAAAAGGATCACTACGGGTGAAGCAGTTTTTGAACCCGAAGGGTGAAAAGAAACTGGAGGAGGAACCCACTTCTGAGAGTGGAAAATCTGACAAGCAGACCATGGTTCTCAAACGATCTTCCATAGGGGACTGTCAGGAAATGATGGAGGAAGAAAAAAGCCATAAATTCACAACACCGCTCCCTCCCAAAAGCAGCCAGCCGACACAGGGGAGATTTCCTTCATCCACAGCCAACATCTTGTACAGCAGCAACCTCCGTGACGACACCAAGGTCATTTTGGAACAAATCTCAGCAAACAGTCAGAAGAACAGAGCAGAACTAGCCAAGCAACTACCATCCACCAGTAATCCTGATCTTTCTAAGTCAACTACCAGCCTGGAAAGGAAAAGTGAGAAGGAGAAAAGCTGTAACATCCACAGGTCAGAGAGTTTCGGGAGCCAGAAACGAAATCTTCAGCGACAACCATCAGAGGACAGAGATACCCTTCTGAAAAAAATGGAGAACATGCGGAAGGAGAAGCGAGTCTACAGTAGATTTGAGGTCTTCTGCAAAAAGGATGAGCATACAAGTCAAAGCGAAGAGGAATATGACACAGACGCCAAAGACAAGAAGATGGGAAAATTCATGCCCAAAATTCTGGGGACCTTCAAGACCAAAAAATGACCATAGAAATACTATTTAATTTCATATAATCACTGACTGTCAAAGAGGAATGAGGAAGTAACTGGGTTATGATGGCTTTAAGCACCAGAGGCAATACTCTTCGTGGTTAGTGAGAGGAAATGTGTTCAGCGTTAGACTCCTACGGCACCATTTGCCCAATAAAGTCATGTGGTATCAGGCAACTTTATCACAGTATGTTTCCAATGAAATTATTAAATTGCCAAGATGCTTAAAACAAAGAAATAAAGAGTCTCTTTATGTTATCCTCAGGGAGTATTTTCAGCAGAAAAAAATAACTCCATTTTCAGAAGGAAACAATAAAGAATAGAAACTACTTGAGTTCGGTCCAGGAAAGAAAAAGACACACAGATACACGTATTAACTGGAAAAAGTGTTTAAAAAATAATTGTTTCTTAGATACAGTTATCTTTTCTTTGTATGTAACAACAAATCAAAAAGGAACCACCTTTTTGAAGGTTTACAGCAGAAAAAAATATTGTAAGCAACTTTTTGCCCTTATCTACGGTTATGGTCTTATCCTGCTCGGATTTCCTATTTACAAGCTTCTAGGCGTACTGGTTCTGGTCTGTGCTGGTTTGTTTCTGTGTGTATAACGGAGGTATCGCTGTAGGGGCCGAGGGGAAAGCAGCAGTTGAAAGGCCATAAAGAAGGAAATGGACGTGTCATTGATGCAGAAAGACCTGGTTTCAGGGCTTCTTTTCAGCTGACTCCGGAGTTTAATTAAGCATCTAAACCCCTGTCTTGGCCAATATGACTTCAGTTCATTGAGGGGATGTCCCTCTGTCAGCACAGCCTGCCACGCGCAGGTGAGGACAGGAGGCACAGGGATGAGGCTGCTGGGATTTTCAAGCTCAGAAGTGGTTTTATCTCACGTCACCTTCCTGTCGCAGTTTGGCACCGAGCTTGGCCACACAGCGATGATGTGGCCCCGGTGACCCTGGAGGGTCAGGCTCTTGTGTCCGAGCGCCTGGCAGGACGGAGGGGAGAGACAGAGGCTCTCCCGAAAACACAGCCCCTCATGTTTAGTTACTGAGCTCTTTGGTTTTCTCCTCAGCCGGGAAGGTCTCTGCTGGGCATCCTGCAGGATTGCCAAAGGAGGATTTCCTTTCCCCCTGGTCTTTGTGCTGTCATCTAAAGAGACGGCAGGGAAGGATGGTCTCACACGCAACTCAGCTTCTGAATTTCCCGCTCCCGTAAGCTTGGGTTTCATGATGACCCACTTGGGACGCGTTACAGCGCAGCAAACCTGCTCCAGCTGATAGACGGAGGCAAGAGGCTACATCAGTTCCTAAAGGTAACTTTAGTAGGGTTGTTGAAACTTCAGCTTTTTTTTAGGATGCCAGGTCCCAGGTAGCAGGGGTTACATCATTTAGCAGGCTTTTATTTAATCTACCTGCCTGTAACAAATAATGAGTGTTTTACTGTTTGTTGAAAACCTTGGGAAATGAATGTGCAGGAACATAGATCGTCTGATCAGAAAAAGCTGATTTTCCTACTAATACAGATAGTAGTAAAAATCTGTAAGAATTAAGAGGAATTATCCTTTTAACATGAGGAGGTAAAACCAGAAATAAAGTTAAGAGAGAAAAAAATTAAAAAAGGAGGAAAGAAGTGGCCAAAATTAGGGAAAAAAAAAGCTGAAATGGATTTCTTATGCTCACTCGGTGTTGTGTAAGCGTGTAACATTTCAGATACAGCCCAAAATCTGTTACATACACACAAACCCATAAACGAATGCTGTAGGCACACTTATTTTTTCTGCTCTTAGTAATGAATCAGATCCAGCTCCTGGTGGGTCCAGCAACGAACTGCAATGATCGATACGGTTGTTCTCTGCCAGATGATACAGAGAGAGATTCTTTTACTCTAGAAAGGACTATAGGCTATACAGATAAATATCCTCTTATACATGAACTAGCCTTACTGTGTGTAATCCTTACCCAGATCATTCCATACCTCCCCAGCCTTTCCCAAACCTACCTGCTCCTGCATCACTCTGTAACAGACAAGTTAGAAATTTAGTTACTTCTATAGTCACAGATTATATCAACATTTTAAAATTTGCTGTATTTGTTTAGATTTTTAGAACTTTATCTTGCTCAGCACGGTGCCTTTGTTGTAAAAAGTATGTTCCTGACCAGAGTCAGAACTACTTAAGGTTTTTAGGAATATGTTGGTTACCGGATGTTGTAGGTGTGTACAAACATTGCAGAATAACTAATTCATTCGGTAATAACAAAAGCTGTTTTAACAATAAAAAAAATAGCGTTACAGCCCATCATCTCCCAGCCCAAAACCAGGTTCACAGAGGCTCTTAGGCCAGATCGTTCGGTCAGAACCCCCGAGTTACGCAGTAGCTCTCCTTTCCACGCAGAAGAACTGGCGTCTCGGACTCCGAGAGCCAAGAGGCGGTGCCAGGCACGACCCGTGCCGCGGGCTCGCCCTGTCCCGCCACCTCCAGCGTCCGCCTGTGCCCGACACAGAGAGCAAACACCTCTTCCACGAATACACCAGGATAAACCAGGGCTTCCCAGTGAGCCCAGGTCCCGGTATCACCAGACTTCAGTGACCACACCTGGTACCAGAAGTGAACGTACCGGGTTTTTACCTCACTAGCCGTTGGTATTTAGGGACTGAAAGATCAAATGGGTGTTTTATCAATGGCAGTGGTACTCACATGTTGGAATTTAGTGCCTGAATCTCCTCTGAAACTATAGCCTCAGTGTTTGGGGATGACAATCATTTGGGACAGAGATTTCTTACAAGAACTTCAAGTTAATGAGGAGAAGGTATCAAAAATCAGCATTTAAAAAGGAATATAGTTTTAAAGTTCGCTGTAGTCCCACTGTTGCCTGGTAAGAACTTCACGATGTTTCAACAATAGTGTCTCTTGGAACTTTGCTTCCTGAAAGCAAAAAAAAATTACTGTATTACTAATTGAACAACATTGCCCCCATATTTTTCCCTTTCACACAGGGCAAACACTGACTGAAAGACAAAGATTTTTCTGTAGTGCAGCATAAAGTACTTATTCTAATATTTACAACATTAGAATATTTCATGGTAGGTAAGCTATTAAATATTGTAGCAGAACCCACCTGTACTTTAAAACATTTTCCTGTTTGACTTAATGAAAATAAGCCACCATTAATTATGTTCACTTACCCCAGAAGAGCCATAGAAATTAGTGGAAAACAAAATGAAGGGCTTTAAGATTATCTTTGAAGAGTTTAGTCTTCTCGGTCTTCAGAGAGCAGTTAGCTCCCTGCTCTGCTCAAAACCAATCTGCATTTAGGCAGTGCACCCAGAACTGCCGGAGAGTCATGGAGTGGGTTGGGAGGGACCTCAAAGACCATCTCGTTCCAAGCCCCTGCCCTGGGCAGGGACCCCTCCCACCAGAGCAGGCGGCTCCGAGTCCCGTCCAGCCTGGCCTTGAACTCTTGCAGGGATGAGGCTGCCACGGCTTCTCGGGGCAACCTGGGCCAGGGTCTCACTGCTCTCATCATAAAATATTTCTTCCTTATGTCCAATCTAACCCCACCCTCTTCCAGTTTAAAACCATTGCCTCTTGTTCTGCCTTGGTAAAAAGTCTCTCTCTGTCCTTCTTATCAGCCTCCTTGGAGCCCCAGAGGCCGCTCTAGGGTGTCCCCTTTGGGAGCCCTCTCCTGCCCAGGCTGAGCAGCCCCAGCTCCCCCAGCCTGTGCTCCCAGGGAGCTGCTCCAGCCCCTGAGCATCTTCGGGGCCTCCTCCGGACCCGCTCCCCCAGCTCCGTGTCCTTCTTGTACTGGGGACCCCAGAGCTGGGCACAGAACTGCAGGGGGGTTCTCACCAGAGTGGAGCAGAGGGGCAGAATCCCCTGCCTTGCCCTGCTGGCCACGCTGCTCGAGATGCAGCCCAGGATGCAGCTCTCTGGGCTGTGAGCAAGCGCCTTGCTGGGTCACGTCCAGCTTTTCATACCCCAGCACCCTCAAGTCCTTCTCCAAGGGCCTGCCCTCCATCCCATCACCCCCAGCCTGATCTGATACCAGGGGTGTCCCTGACCCATGTGCAGACCTTGCACTCAGCCTTGTTGAACCTCATGAAGTTCACAGGGACTCTGGATACTTTTGAATATGTCTAAATACATTCCAGTACCAGAATATTGCAGTTTTCTGCAATAATTCAAGTGAATAGTATGAACTGACAGTACTCATTGTTCTCACAGTCTGGGAGCAAATAGTGCTTTGCCCTTGTCTGGTAAGACTGGAAGGCAAAGGCGTGAGATTCTATTTTCTGTGGGTTTGTCCAGAGGAAAGCAGTCCCTTGTCCCACATGATGGACACGGCATTTCCCTTCAGCACTGAGGGAGCTGGGGCTGTTCAGCTGCAGAGGAGGGGGCTGAGGGGGGATCCCCCCGGGGCTGAGCCATCTCTCCAGGGGGGCGTCAGGGGGATGGGGCCAGGCTCTTCCCAGGGGGGCCCAGTGACTGGACAAGGGGCACCGGGCACCAGCTGGGAAACAGGAGGTTCAGCCTCCACACGAGGAAATCCTCCTGTGCTGGGAGGGTGCCGGGGCGCTGGCACAGGCTGCCCCGAGTGGTCGGGGAGCCTCCATCTCGGGAGCCTTTCCAGCCCCGCCTGGACGTGTTCATGTGGGACCTACTCGAGGTGATTCTGCTCTGGCAGGGGGGTTGTACAAGGTGATCTCCAGAACTCTCTTCCAACCCTGACCATTGTGTGATTCTGTGTGACTGATGGTATGAGCTGTACTTCACCTGGTTAGAACACTTCTATATTCACTGCTCATGCTGTTGGGAGGACTTTGGTACTGGAAGCCTCTGCAGCGCAGATTTACATATGGTTCCATATGCCTGGGAGTAACTGCCCATTGATGCTTTCGGATCACCAGCGGCTCCCACGTTTGCAGTAATCTGGAACATCTTTTTACTGGACTTCAGAAGAGGACGAACATCTTTGCTGTGAATCTCAGTATTTCTTGGATTCTGTCCGAGAAAGAAAAATCAACATAGTAACCTGCAATCAGCTTTCTGACATCCAAACAACGAACACAGATTTTTCTTCAATCAAGGAGTAGGACAAATCATGAATGTTACATGAATAATAAACAGCATCCCATTTTGTAAAATCAAGAACAGGATGGCAAGAATGGTATAAAGGAGAAGGGCTTAAGAATGGGTGTATCAAGAATGAGCTAGAGGCACTGGAGCAAGACAGAAGAAACTAACCCTGCACTTGAGTAAAAGTCCAAAAGCCTGTTTGGCTGGTACCTTGTTTTCAACAGTAGTGAATGCTTTAAATATAAGTACAAAAGGCAGCTCTCCTGGCTTGTGTTGGTCAAAGGGCTGGGTGACTTCCTGAGTTGGAAGCTACAGATGGATACTGCACCGACCAGCTCCCGTGGTGATAAGGCAGTGACACAGCAATACCTGGCAACCCGTGCTGCACTGCAATCCATTTGTACCTGCAGCTCAGGAGGAGAGCTGTGTCACTGCAGCTTATGCTTTGTGAACCTCTAGTTAACTGGAAGGCAAGAGTTTCCACTCACTCTTGTGGCACTGGCTGCTGTCACCCCAGCCATTATATGAGTCTTTGCTGGTCAAATGGCTGAGAACAAGAGCTTCATGAGTCTGGCAGAATACTGGTACCATTTGGCTGACGCTACATACAAGCCCTTTTGTAAATCCAGGTCTCTGCCACACTAGCAATACTTTCTCCACATTAGAGGCAAGTTTAGTCTAGTTATTGCCCCTACTGGCAGAAATTCTTCAACTCTCTTGTAAAGGGAACATCCTCTGTCCCAGCCCAGCTGCCTTACCAAACCGGGTTACTGCTACCATTTGATTGACACTACATACGAGCAAGGAAACTGCAGAGCATATCTCTGTCATAAGCAATTTTAACCGATAAAGACTTACTAATTTAGTCATGCACAAAGCAGTATGTCTTGCCTCTTATTTAAATATTTTTTCAAAGTTGCAAATTAAGATATTTTGTGTCTGTGTCATATTGGTTGATGAAAAGTTAAGGGTTTGGTTTGGGTTTTTTTGTTTAGGCCTGCTACTCACATTATAAAGGTCCTGTACACTTGTAGGAGGCAGCCGAGCATTTGCATTGGCCCATGTGATTTCTCTCCCCAGCCTCCTATTGTTGAAGTCTCTGGCCTGTTGAAAAGGTGGGGCCCAACGGCTCCTGATCACAGCACCAGAGTTTGCATTGCCTGCAGAAGAAAAACCATGAAAGAAAGTGGGAAAAACATGAGGACACACCAACTGAGGCTGGGGCAGAAGAACTGTCAGCCCTTGCCAGCTTGCTTCACCTCACAAACCGAATAAAAATATTCAGAACAAAATTAGCACGCAGTGGCAAACAAACCCAGTCCAAAATGGCCTAAGACAAGAGCAGTAAAGAAGCAAAGAGGAAATGGAAAGGAACACAGAGTCAAGACTGAGGCAGGAAAGGCCAAGGAGAACGCCATATGCTCAAAACTCATTCAACAGTGTTTTGTTCTTGAGTCATCTTCGTCCCACACCTTCACCCTCTCATTTTGGCATGTAAATTCCCCTCATTTCTTTTTCCCCACTCAATCAGTCTTCTTCCCCATAACGCCTCCCAGTGGATTGCAGCGCACAGTAGGAGGGCAGTACCTACTTTGGACAGCAGCATGTGTTATGGGATTGTAGATCACACTGGTCTTTGATCTCTGCCGTAAAGTTCTTGCTAAACCTTCACTCTGGTTGGATACGTCTGGCTGGACGGTAGCTGTGCTTCCAGCATGCACGTGGGAAGTTTTTAGAAGAGGTTGTGTTGGTTCTCTCTGGCCTTTCCTGGTACGTGAAGTTACAGAACTGGAGTTTGGAGGAAATGGCCTGGATTTAGACTGACTGAGCTGAATGTTTTCTCTCTGCACTTGCACCTTTGGATGGCTACTGAGCTTCTTCTCAAGGATCATCTGCAGAGAGGAGAAGTCGGGCAGACTTAACACAGCTACACAGCAGAGCGGAGGAACAAAACAGAAACAAAGAGAAAGCACAGTCTTTCTCAGGCATGATGCCTTACAGACTTTTCTTTTCCCAGTGGGAATCTAGATTTAAAGACCTCTCAGAAATTATGACAGTGTGGAACTGACTGATAAGAAACACCAAGATGTAACAGTAAGCATGTATGGAAAGCCTAAGGGAATGCAAACAGAAGAAAATGACAGAATCCATTAAGTGTGTGCAAGAATGGCAGGTTATCTGGAGGATTGGGATTTTGGAAGATAGGGTAAGAGAAAGTACCTCATATAATTTATTTCGATATTCTGCCACAGACAGCTGGATATCATGACCTAAAGGAAGAACCACATCATAATCCAGACAGGGCTCCCTGGCAGGACAGTGAAACCTAAGAAGATGGTAACATATAATGCAATTCATTAAAACTGTAAAACAGCATCACAGATTAGCATAATATTAAAAAGGATTGTTAAATCATCTAGTGTGACCTCTAGAGTAAATAGGTTTAGAGAAAATTAAGATCTAGCTCTGTCTTTTTTTTTCTAACGTGCACAAAAAGAAAACTTATGCCAAAACCAGGTCTGTAACCTTGCAGAAGACATGAGGGGAAGCTGGACATTGGTATTACTCTCACCTTTTCACATAGGGATGCTGCAGAGCCTCCTCTGCTGTGAGTCGTTTATCAGGATTAAATACTAAAAGTTTCTTCAGAAGATCCACGGCAGGCAATGGAGTAGAGGATGGTAAAATCTCCTCAAACGTTACTCGCTGCCTAGAAGTCAGAAAATGACAATATAAGCTCCCACTGTAATTCACAGAGAAGGCGTGAATTGCAGTTCTGCAAACCCCACCATGGTGACACCGGACTCCAGAGCTCACTCACAGGCAGGGTGTCGTCACCCTGGAACACTCTAGAGCACAAGCCTGGGAGTCCAGGAAAGTCTTTTACCCCTTCGGTTAGATGTGAACGCCTCCCTCCTAGCACCAGCAACTTATGGGAAGTGCCTGGCTCGCAAGTCTGGTCTTTCTCTTGTTTTGGTGGAAAGAGAGGTATTGGACAGTATCAGACAGGGGAAGAATGAGTCCTCTGGGCAATGAGTCCTTCTTCGGTTCTTTTGACAATGCAGAAGTCCAAATTCCTAACTTGGATGTTCCCGTTCAACTGTTACTGATCCCATGAATCTATTATAAATTCCTGCCTAGGCCACTAGCAAGGGAACAGCACAACGTGAACAGCAGGGGACCTGCTAGAGCTGATGGTGTGACCCTGACCTAAACCTATAAAAACATCCGCTTTACCAGTTAAAGCACCATCTCCAGTTCGGAGAACTCACACCACACAGAGCTGGGCTCTGCACATTGCAGACCCCCCGATGAGAAGGGCTGCCCACTGGTATCACAACAGATATGGGAATACTTAGAGACTGGCGAGTCATTTGCTGAGGCCATAAGACAGTGTAAGAGCATTAAGTTTACTAATGTATACTAATAATCTATGTAATAAATGCAGAATTATGGGGTAGTCTGTGTCCATAACTGGAGGATCCAAAAAAAAAAGACAGATACAAGGGAAAAAAATTTAACAGTCACAGGGAGAGTCGTTAAGCAGCTGGAACAAGGCTGTCAGCCTGGATAGATTCAGGTCTTCCACGTGTGCACCAATGAGATCAGAAACCCAAACGACTCAGGATAGGAAAATATTCTAATTTTGAGAAAGCACACATGACAATAGCTTGGAATGTATGCCCAGCCTCATTTCATTTTGTTATTCCCAGATTATGTCATTGGTCTTCTCATCTTTTTAAACATCCCTTCCCTAGAGGCAGGTGAATCTGCAGAGAACAGAAACAATTTCCACTGGTGAATAGTGGAAGGTGAACTTCAGGGGAGATTTTTGCCAGCATCGTACAGTAGATTGTTGATTTCTGAGATACATTGAATGTACAAGGCTTACCGACAACTCATGTGGTTAATAACCGACGCCCTGTAATCTGACTGCATAGCCAAGATATCTGCAATAATGAAGAGATACCATTAATCACAGAATCATAGAACAATTCAGG